GTCTCTCAGCATGGATTTACAGCAATTCTAAACACTTACAAGTGGAATGCTCTCAAACAGATGACTAAGTAATAGAAAAACATAACGCACACAGACAGTGCTTCTCATTGAAATAACACAGTGAAATATATCACAATCATGCTCGTACACATCTATGGTCAAAGAGCCATAGCGTAAACAAAGTATGCATGATCAACAAAGCTAGCAACCATTTGAACACAACTATTGGAAGCAGAGTCCAATGAGTTTGCGCATGACGACATGGCTTTGCCTTGAAGACATTGATTATTTCATCAAAGTCCAGTTTCTCAGCTGCTTCTTTTTTAAATACGGTCAATCCAGCAGGTTGCCAGGTTTGTCAGCTGCATCTGTGGGTTGCAACCCCTGACACACCGGTGGCCATACCAGTGGGTGAGATGTTATTGTACCCTAACAACTTGAAAACACAGAAAACACCTCATAGATTAAGAAACAGTAAAAAAGCTGCTTTACCCCACCTTATAGAGAAAGGAAGTCCTTTTCCAAACTGCCTTTATGCATGTTTTTTTTTAGATGTTAGATGCAAGACAACACATTCCTACCAGAAGATTTAATGTGGATAAATAGAAGTCAGCAACTTTTATCATCTCAATATCTTTATCTGTCATCTTTTTGTTATCAACACATCTTCCCGATCTCTACTGAGCTGATGTGGAGAAATTCATAAGAGACAGAATCCAGCACTTGTCTATATGATCCAACAAACTTTGTTTTTCCCTTTCAATGTTACCCACTAAAGGGCTTCAAGTTAATATTTTGATCTGACTCCATCATATTAACTTTTAGCAGACGATAAGGTTGGGTGTGTTGGGTGGCGGCCGGGGGAGGGGACCCTGGCGGTCCGATCCTCGGCTGCAGAAGCTGGTTCTTGGGACGTGGAATGTCACCTCGCTGGTGGGGAAGGAACCGGAGCTAGTGTGTAAGGCTGAGAGGTTCCGGCTAGAAATAGTTGGTCTCACTTCGTCGCATGGTTCTGGTTCTGGAACCAGTCTCCTTGAGAGGGGCTGGACATACTTCCACTCTGGAGTTGCCCACGGTGAGAAGCGCCGGGCAGGAGTGGGCATACTTGTTGCCCCCCATCTCGGTGCTTGTACATTGGGGTTCACCCCGGTGAAGAGGGTAGCCTCCCTCCGCCTACGGGTGGGGGGACAGGTTCTGACTGTTGTCTGTGCTTACGGGCCGAACAACAGTTCAAATTACCCACCCTTCTTAGAGTCCTTAGAGGGGGTACTGGAGGGTGCCCCTCCTGGGGACTCCCTTGTTCTGCTGGGAGACTTCAACGCTCACGTGGGCAATGACAGTGAGACCTGGAGGGGCGCGGTTGGGAGGAATGGCTGCCCCGATCTGAACTCGAGTGGAGTTCTGTTGTTGGACTTCTGTGCTCGTCATGGATTGTCCATAACAAACACCATGTTCAAGCATAAGGGTGTCCATATGTGCACTTGGCAGGACACCCTAGGCCGCAGTTCGATGATCGACTTTGTCATCATTTCATCTGACTTGCGGCCGTATGTTTTGGACACTCGGGTGAAGAGAGGTGCGGAGCTTTCCACTGACCACTACCTGGTGGTGAGTTGGCTCCGGTGGTGGTGGAGCATGCCGATCAGACCTGGCAGGCCCAAATGTGTTGTGAGGGTCTGCTGAGAACGTCTAGCGGAGTCCCCTGTTAGGCGGGGCTTTAACTCCTATCTCCGGCAGAACTTCGAACACATCCCAGGAGAGGTGGGGGACAGTTGTAAGGGAAAATAAGAACTTCTCTAAAAAAAAAGTCTGCAATTGAAGCAGTTCAGGGCTCTTAGCTCTTCCTCAGGTCTTAAATGCAAAGTTTACCTAAACACAGAACTTTATATCACTGACCAAAATGCAGATAAGATGCTCCTTAGATGGACTCCACAAGTAGTCCATCTCTTTAAGCTCTGATTTCAGCTGCAGTCCACAGCATTTAAATCTCTCCAAAACTTTGGTTCCCTTTTTCTTCAATCAAAGTTTTTCCTTCTACGCAACATTTCTTTAATAATTTGGATAGCACACTATGCCTGTTTCTTTGGCACTGAACCTTCATGGTTTAATTTCCATGTGCGATGTGTCAGCAGTAAAGCTGTCAAGCAGGTATTCTTCCTCATAACCTTGTAGGCCATAAGATGACATTTCTGTATTAGAAATCATGTTTTTATTGATCTGATACAAGATTGATATTTCATGAGAAAACTCATTTTAGAAGTTCTTTATTAGCTTCAAGGGTAATTTTCCAAATTAACAGAGATAAACAGTTATGTAATTAAACCTTTTTCAATTTAATCAATGGAAAATTGTACTTTTTTTCTAATTTACTGGGTTGCACCAGAATATATTTTAATCATAACACCCTAAAGGTTCACATCAGACTGCAGTAATTTGTCTCTTTGCTTTCTACTGCATCACAATGCTTAACAAAGAAGACCTTATTCACCGACTGAACAACTGACCTCAGAGTTAGCTGAAAATAATCTGACACCATTTTAGATGATACTGTCACTGCCTTTCACTGTTCCTGCTGTGTGTCAGTGTGACTTGTGACATCAGTGTAAAGCAAGCTGTACAAAGAGCTGATACTGTCCCCAAGGACAATTGCCTGTGTCTCCATCCCACTCATGTAGCCATACAAGGGCTACATTTATAATACCTGTAAAAAAAAACAACAACTTTATTTTAGTCATTCTTTCTTCTGTCCATTTTATTCAATTTATCATTTTTCTTTTCTCATTCACTATTTCCACCTTGTCCTCCATTCATCTTTGTCTCATTCCTTCCAGTTTGCAAAAGCACACCACATGCATGCTCTGCTCTCTCATGCGTGCACACAGTGATTTCCCCATAACTGGGTTATGTGTAACCTCAAATAGCCTTTTTTGACAATAGGGAGAGCCCAGAGTTCATCCTCTCTTCTGCACCTCTGTTTTTTTACATCTAACCTGGTATAAAAGTTATATATGTAGTAATTAGCAAAAAATAAATAAACAAATGGAGCCGACTGCATGTGCCCTGGTTTCTAAGAGAGGATAGCTTCAAGGTCATGTTCCTGCTGAGACCCTGCAACACTGAAGTATATATGAGAGAGTGCTGGTATGCACGCACAGTTGGACACCATAGCCTTTAAGGAACCAATCATAGCCATTTCATATGTCAACATCTAATCTTATTACCAAAAAACCCAAAACAGGCTTAATATTAGGGCTATTACATAAGCACCCTAATTTACAATGCATTCTGGGAAACATGAGATACTTACAAACTTCCAGTTTAGGTCAGTGTAAAGTTAGAGGAGAGGGAAACAAGAGGAGAAGAGAAATAAAATGAAAGGAAAGGAAAATGCAGTAGGAGAAAATTATGATAGAATGGAAGCTATAAAAGAAGAGTAGTATAAAAAAAAGGAAAAATAAAAACAAAACAAGAGAGTATACTTTTAAAAAGGGTAAGAATAAATAAACACAATTAAGATGCAGGAATCAGGATAGCAAGACTTTAAAAAGAGGCTACAAGTAAAAACTATGGATCTACAGTCTCTTGAGAAAGAGTATAAATTATAAGAAAAAGGAACAGCAGCCTGCTGAGTGTAAAGGTCACAGGAGATATGCTATGTAAGCATACCCTTATATAAATATATATAAAAAAATATATTTGTGGTTTCAACTAATCTCCTATCTATGTGGATGGGGCCTCAAATGTTAACAATTACCCTGAAAACCCAATCAGGGATCAGTCACACACGAGCAGCACATTAGAAACACCCTAAAGATTAAAGTAACTATAGTTAAGAGGATATATCGTCATTTCTATCCTCAGTATTCTTCCATCCCCTTAGTTCCTTATAGCCAGCCACCACAGCTGTGTCCCCTTATTTTCTGATTTCCTCACCTGCCTGCCTTGCTCTTTTCTCACCCTCATAGTAAAGAGCAGGTGGTTTTCATGAATCTATTCTACAGTCTTCTGTGTGTTGCCTTCTGTCTCCATGCATGGTTTAAAACCTGTTAAGCCTTCTGCATCTGGTTCCACTTACTCACAGAGAAACACGGTGGTGGCAGCATCATTCTGAGTGTGTCCTTTAGCTAAAACAAGGGCCTTAATCAAGGTAGGAGGAACTCTAAATATCAGTCATCCCTGGAACATAATATCAGACAGAATGAAAAATGACCCAAAGAAAACATCCCAAATAACAACATAATGGTTTAGTGAGAAATTTTAGAATTGCCCAGACAGACCAGAGACCTGAATTCAAAAGACAGCTGTTCACTGGAGGGAGGGTTTGCAAAGATATTAAACCTATTGCCATGCTAAGTGAGAAAATACTGAATCTTGTAATAATGCAAAAGATAGGGATATGCACTGTTGTTCATCCACTTTATTTATTCATTTTATGTTATTAACATTCTTTATTTTTGTATAAAATATTTCAGCCTTTTATACATTTTACTGATGATGGGTGCATTTAAATGAAATAAAATATCTGAAATGATTTACCACAGCCTTATCAGCACCCAGGTTTAAAAAAAAAAATTATGCAGTGCTTATTCTTATTTAAATGCATCTGTTCAAGGTAGAGCTTCGGCTGACACATTGCACTTTAGTATTATTAATTTCATTTGCACGTTAGATGAAACTACACAATAGACCATTTCATATGGCCTTTTAATCTGCAAAAACATATCCTACTAAGTACCATACGATGTGGTTTAGAATAATGTGCGATGCATTTAGTTTTTTTTTTTTTTTTGCGTTCTGTTTCATTTATTTAGGCCCATTTTCAACTGAGATATAGGCAATAATAATTGTTTAAATTTTCTGAATCTTGGCCTCTTTATAAAGTCGGAACAGAAATGTTAAAAAGGAACAACAGCAATGCGATGGATGAGAAGAGAAGTGTGTAATCTGCTTTCGCCCCCGCCTCCTCTCACCTGGACGGAAGTGGAGCGCAGGTAAAGGTGTTGCGCGCAGCCTCCTCCTCTCCAGGTGCTGCGGTGCGGCAGCGCGCTCCTTGTCTGTAGCTGATACACTTTCATTTGAGGGAGACATGCGGCTAGATGTGCTTCACGCTTGGAAATAATCCATGAGACAACCTGAGACATTCTTCTTCTGTTTCTCCTCACCCAGTAATCTCACGGACTAATGTGGCTTCTACTGCTGAGCCTGGTTCTGCGGCACTGGATCTACACCGTGGAGGGTAAGCTGGCGCCTTGCTCCATGTCTAAAGATTAAAGGGCAGCTCAGTTGTCATGTGCACAAAACGAGGCCATAAATGTTGGTGACTTTTGACATCATTATTAAAAAAGAAAAAAAAAAAAAAAAAAAAAAAGGAGCAATATTAAGCCATTTGGAGTATAATTAATGCAAAAATGCAAGAATTTTCCCCAAAGCTCCTAGTTGTGGTTGTCTGTTTAAACTAGGATCCAGATATAATGCACATACTGCAATTCAGTCATTAAAAGAAAAAAAAATACTGGTAACAAGTTCATGTGTGTTGCAGGATCATGTTCAACTGTAAAGGCTGGGACTTGTGATGAGTGTCTGCAGCGCAGTCCTCACTGTGCCTGGTGCACACAGGAGGTAAACAAGACTTCATACTGAGATTTTAAAAAATGCAATAGCAAATGTGTTACTCAAAAAGAAACTTGCTATATTGCTAGATATTTAGAAAGCACAATCTCTTTTTTTTTTGCATTACTTCCTTCATCTTTCAGAATTTCACAGACTGGGTTTCAGTCTCAGAGAGATGTGACACACTGGATAATTTGCTAGAAAAAGGATGCTCAAGGGACCATCTCCTGTTCCCTGTTTCTGAAAGCCAAATTCTCCTAGAACGACCCCTCGGAAAAAAGATAGAATATGCAAATAGCACTCAGATTTCTCCACAAAAAATTTCCCTCAAGCTACGACCAGGTATTTCAATCCGAGTATCCAAAGTGGAGAATCTGGAGTCGGGTTCTCAATCTCAGACTATAAATATTTTTTTCTGTATCCACAGGCAGTGAGGAGACTTTTCAGGTTAAGGTTCAACATACAGATGATTATCCTGTGGATATGTACTACCTGATGGACCTATCGGCCTCCATGCATGATGATCTTAAAATGATCAGAGAGTTGGGCTCCTCTCTGTCCAGAGAGATGTCCAAACTCACCAGTAAATTTCGAATAGGCTTTGGCTCTTTTGTGGAAAAACCTGTTCTTCCCTTCATCAAGATCACTGAGAAAAGTCTGGCCAATCCCTGCAGGTGTTTAATTAATAACAAAGCAAGAAAAGATGCTAATGATACATCTTCAGCATAGTTTTTATTGTAATGTTTGTTTCTGTTTTCCTTTACTCCTCATTCCTTACAGTGACGTCTACTCATACTGCCTTCCAACATTTGGCTATAAGCACGTCTTGTCTTTGACAAGCCAAACCAGCAGCTTTAATGACATCGTCGCAAAGCAGAGCGTGTCTGCTAATATAGACAACGTGGAATGTGGTTTTGATGCTATAATGCAGGCAGCCGTTTGTGGGGTAGGATTGGAAATAAATCAATTCTTTCTCCAATTTCCGGTTTCTGAATATGTTTTGAAAGTTTTTCTGTACTTGTAGGACAAGATCGGATGGAGAAATGATTCCATGCGTCTGTTGGTGTTTGTCAGTGATGGGGACTCACACTTTGGGATGGACAGTAAATTGGCCGGGATTGTGATTCCTAATGATGGGCAGTGTCATTTGGATGAAAACAATGAATATTCTATGTCCAAAAAGCAGGTAAATATTCACCTAAGCAGTCAAAGGGTAGCTTAGAAAAGGCAGGCTAGGTCAGGGACTTAATTTAAATAATGAAGTTATAATACCAGTGATCCTAAATTGAATCTGAGTCTTTTAAAAGTAGTCATTGAAGAAGTCCACATGTTCTTTTTGTAATAGTAATAAGTAGTATATTGTGTTATTTTTTTGTTTTTTCATAAGGATCGTATCTGAAAGGTCTGTTTGTTTTTATATCAGTCCCACTGAGTCAAGATAACCACCTTGTGCTGCAGTTATAGCCGATGATATTCAGGAGTGAAATTATTGGTCTTGCTTCAGAGTTAGGTCTAGATCGAAACACCCGTTTTTCAATTCTAGCACTCCCAAATTTTAAGGTGTTGCTTTAGCTACAAAGTTAAGGGCTTTTGTTCTGGAAGGTAAACCACTTGGTCTCAAGTCTTTTGCTGTTTTTCCTCCTGTATGTGTTGCTGCTAAAAATGCTGCCACCACCATGTTTCAGTGTTGAGATGAAACCTGGTAAACGGTTTTGCCTGTACGGAAGGTTGAAGTGTCATCTAAGAAATGCACATTCCTCCATGTGTCTGCTATGTCCTTTACATGGGTTGTTGCTAACTTTAAAAAGGCCTTACTAAGGCTTTCTTTCAATGACGCATTAACCTTTTGCCCCAGTTCTGTAAAGGTCACATTGGTAAAGTGCACAACTAATAGCTATCAAGTCCGCAAATTCTTCTACCTGAGCTGTGGATTGCTGTAGATCCTCCACAGTTACCATGGGCCTCTTGGCTGATTACTGCTGTGGTATATTCTCCATAACCAGACCTCAGTTTTAACTTTTAATTTTATAACTGCTGCCTTCAAAGAAAAGCTTCATTTTGTTATTTATCTTTTTTAAACTGAAGTTACGTGCAGTCTGGCTGCGTTTACCAATTAGGCTTTTTTCTGCAGTCTGTAGATTTTATTATTTCAGAAAAGCAAGGAATAATCTTATACACTATTTTGTTTTAAATTTTGTCAGTACATTGTTGTTTTTTATTATAATGCAATAAAACAAGAAACTTTGTGCTGTAGGGGAGCTTTTTTTAGATCCAAGCTTTCGTCTTCTACACATCTTTATTAAATGAAACAAACTCAGATACTTTTCTCTATTCTTGCCGAAACCTGCGGAGCCGACCCACACACCCTGCCCTTTTCTTCTTTTTATACCTGGGTACTATTAGCTTTCTTATATCTGACTACATCTCAGGACGCAGTTGAATATTCTGTAGTGACAGTACTGAATCCACTTTCAGTATTTCTAGACTATGTGGATGATGTTTTTCACTAGTCTCTACAGTCAGGGCCATTATTAGAACAGCTTCCATGAGTCATTGTTTCAGACAACTTTCATTATTAACTTTGTGGTCCTTTTTTTTTTTTTTTTTAGGAATATCCATCCCTCGGGCAGCTGATTGATAAATTGGTGGAGAACAACATCCTCCTGATATTTGCTGTTACAAAAAATCAGATAAATAATTACAAGGTATCTCCTCCCTTCGTAATTATTCTTATGTATCCAGATGGAGTAAACCCATTCCAGAAAGATACTTGTCTCCAGGGAGTGTAATGCTTACTGAGGTTAACATAGTTATCTATTGAGCTGTATTCAGCTTGTTAGAACTGGCTCAGTGTTTTTTTTTCCTTTAGCCTTTCCATACTTTAAATTATGGAAATTTGAGCTGTCCACGTTGTAACCACAACACTGTTGTTTATCTGCGCTGTTTTGCTTTCAGAACTATGCAAATCTCATACCTGGTGCCACAGTTGGAGAATTGGCATCAGATTCGAGAAACATCCTGGAACTGATTGTAACAGCTTACAAGGTAAATAAACAGTCTTAGTCACTGAGGATGTGCCCTAAAGAAAAACTTTCAAATTTGTTGCTATTGTATTTTGATGAACTAGTTATCCAATTTTGAAATTCCCTTTGAGCCGATCCTCTGACAGCCATGAGCTGGCCTTTTCCAGAAATCCTGTCCTCCGTTTCCCCTTTATTCTTCTTTCTTCTGCTGAAGTTCTTTACCTTTCCCATAATGTGCCTTGCATCAACATGTCTCGCAGCAAGTTTCTGCTTGTCCCACCAGTTTGATCTCCTCTGATTCTTACTTGCTCTTTCTTCCCCGCTCCTTCCCTTCACCACTCTTGGCTGGGTCGTTTAGTAAACCCCCCCCGGCGGCGTTGACCCGCGGTCGAGTGAAGCCCAGTCCTCTAATTATTGTGCCCAGTTATGCTTTTTGTTTAACCACACTGAGGAAATAGGTCTATGTTATCACTCTGATTGTAGCTGCACTGCCTTGAGGGAATGAAATACAAACACAGGAATATGCTATAATAGTTGGCAGGTAATGTGTATTTATAGTTACTTGCAATTTTGGATTATGGTTTAGCTTTTCCAAGAGATATTTGAGCCAAATCACTTTAAATACCTTGAAAGTTATTTACAGAACAACACTGCAGACTTCTGGATTTGATTTATGGACTAAATCTGTGTGAGGTTGGGTGTATCCCACACATGGCCTAGTTTTCACCTCCATTTCATGATGCAGTTACAGTTAACCCTCTGTTCGCATCTAGACAGTTTGTCAGAGTCCATTCATCATGCAATTTACTCTCCACCTGAGGTCGGTTGTCATTCTTCTCTCAGCCGTCTTGTTTGCTTAAACACACCTGGCACAATGACTCACATGAAAGACGTAAGTGAAGGCTCAAATGGCTAGCACATCACAGGTCAAGGCAGGGTGAAAAAATTGACTGCTTTCAACCTCCTTGAGATCCCTTTTCAAGATACACAAGGGACACCTTCCTCAGTATCTATTTCCTTTTCATACGGGCTGATGAAGTGTAAAGTTTGTGAACTGTTTTCCAGGAGCTGCGCTCAGAAATTGAACTTGAGGTCCTTGGAGACACACAGGATCTTCAAATGTCCTTTACAACCATCTGTCCAAATGGCACCGTCTTTCCTGATCTAAAACAGTGCTCTAACATCAAACCAGGCGAGACGGTCAGTTACTTCTGCTTTGAAACAACTGCTAATTGTGCTAGTGTGCCGCTCATGCAGGGCAGTTTAGTGCAGTTCAAAGTGCTGCACCATGTATAATTTAATGAGAAAGATAAGATACATTTGCAACAGATGCAGACAATAAACTATACTGCTGGTCAATAGAAGTATTGAAGAGCTCAGATGCTTTTTCAGTAAATATATTTGTATTATTTGCAATGACGTCAAATTCATATCTGTTGCCCCTTATTACATGAAAAATGTCATGGATAAAATAATTGAAAATTAGTATTTAAACACTTGAAGAACTGTAATGAAAAATTATTTGCTAAAAGCAACTTCAAGATATCTTCTAGGGCTGATCAATATATCCAGATTTTCTCAGAGATATAAGATCAGACTATATTATATATAGTAAGAGGCTTTATGTTGACCCCCCAGTTCCTCTTTCTGTTCTTCCCTGTTTGTCTGCACTGAACTTCCCATAACCCCACCAATCGCCCTCTCTGAACACAAACCACCCTGCCCTTCAAAAGCTTCACTCATTTAGGTGGATTATTATATACTAATGTTCATCACTTGTATACGTACAGCAGACAGCTGTTTATTATTAATATCTGTGTGCGTCATTTAGGACAAAGCTTTAATTCAGAGGTGCCTTTGTAGACCAATTTGGGGAAAGAAAAGAATATTGAGCTTTATATCTTATATTGCCATGCAGATTAAAAATATCCAGATATTATTTTTGGTCCATATTACCTATTGAATGTATGTATGCATTGTTTGGTTGCGATTTATAACCCGTCTTTCTCATAATCTTTTGTCTTTTAAATCCTGAAGATTTATTACTATCATGGTGCTTTGTTAAGCCATTTTTTGCAGTTTAACTCTTTTTCTCTAAATGTTATTTAGAATACCCTCATCTATATGTTTGGGACCATTTTCTCTCAGGCAAATGCACATTCGTCTCATCGTCCAATAAAAAAAAAAAAGATTATTATTAAGATAGTCTTGGTCCATTTCCTCATTCATTAATATACCTGGACCATATTCTGTTAGAAAGCCCACACCATGATGTCCCCAAACTTTCTTTTGGTGGTGGTTTTCCACAGGGATTTAAAGAACCAATGTTCATCCAAACGTAATCTTTGCAAGGATATTCAAAGTTCAGCTTCGACTCCACCTGCTTAGACACTGGCTTGTTCAAATCCCCTGCTGTAAACCTTAAACATGCCTTTTTTTGCATGAGATTTTACTGAAGTCTCGTACAGTGAGTGTGCATGCTAAACAGCGTGGTTAACTGCATTACTTATTGCTTTCCCTGCCATTCCTAGATTGTTTTGAAGCACGGTGAATGTACTTTGGTTCTTGAACATCTCTTTTGCCTCCTCTGCCAGAAATCTGGACATCTGGCCGTGACTGGTTTCTGATGAATGCTCCAGTAGTGCTCACTGGACCATTCATGTGTGTAGAAAATCACTTGTAACAATTGTCCTTACTGTAGCTTGTTTTTATTTTTTACAGAAAGAGTGAGGATTCTTCTTACTTTTACCAGTCATAAAACTCTTTGCTTTACTTCTGTTGCAAAAACCTTTTGAAAAAAAACATCAGCTAATATTCACTAATTATGCTATGATTTGCACAAAGCATTTAATTTCATACTGAATTCTGTTGTTAATGGCTCCTACAGAGACATCTACACTAAGGGTTAATATGTTTGATACGGATTCTACCAGCTGTAGGCGTTAAGATTGGTGACCCCAAAGTGAACTAAAGAAAAGTTGTTAAAGTAGCAATTGTCTGAATAGACAAGCTGTTAGAAAAAGTTGTAATAAAAAAGTTCAAGCTATATGGGCAAAATAGAAACCTGAAAAAATGTTGAGCTCAGAAATCCTGAATCAAATATTAAAATCATTTAGAGAGCTAATTTGAAACTTCGAAAGACATCGGGAAAGCAGCTAGACTTTAAAATGAATATCTTTAAGTATCCCCCTTTAAAAAGCTGTAAGTCTCCTTTATAGACCCCATCTATTATTTTTAGAATGGTCTGCTTCATTTTCCTAGATGACACTCCTTTAACAGATTTGTTAATATTCTTGATTTTTTTTGTTAATATTCACTTAACACCTAAAAACAGCTGGTAAAATGAGGATGATCAAGCCCTAGTTTGGGAATTGAAATAGAATTTTTTTGTTGTTGTTGTTTTTGTTTTTTCATAGGCTTATAAAGACTGAATAGATCAGTTATTAAAGCACCTAGTGCTGCCTCACATTGGGTTTCCAAAAGTAAGTACTAAACTCAAAGATCCCTCCAAAAGAAAACTTTGGCAAAGTCCTGACAAGTCCAGATATATTTCCTCCTACTATGGACATTATGAATACCAGAACAGTAACACTTCTAGGAATCTTTAGACTTACACTTTAGACTTTAGACAGATTTTATTTTTGATTTTAATTTTATCAATGTTTCTTTTGAATTGAATTTGTGTCTTTGTGCTGCAGGTTGTATTTAACGTGTCTGTGGGAACCTCAGGATGTGTGCCAGGAGTGCGGCACTTCTCCCTCAAACCAGTGGGCTTGCAGGACAGTCTGGAAGTGGAACTCGAGTCCCTTTGCTCTTGTGACTGCCAGCAGCCTCCTATGGCAAACAGCAGCCAGTGCAGAGAAGGCCAAGGGGTTTACCACTGTGGCGTGTGCGTGTGTCAGCCAGGGTTTCTGGGAGCCCAGTGTGAATGCAATGAGGAGACCGCTTTGTTGAGTAACTGCCTCATCTCTAATGACTCTGAGATATGCAGTGGTCAAGGGGACTGTCACTGCGGGCAGTGTTTGTGTAATGCATCCAGCTTCGGCCGGATCTACGGACCATACTGTGAGTGTGATAATTACTCCTGTGTTCGCTTCCGAGGAGAACTCTGCGGAGGTGAGGTCTCACATGTGAATGCTGGTACTTTTGTCTCTTAGTGGTGTTGTTTTTCTGAAGGATCTAACACTTTTTAGGTCATGGGGTGTGTGACTGCGGGGAGTGTCGCTGTGAAAGCGGCTGGACGGGAGAATACTGCAACTGCAGCAGCAGCACCGAGGCATGTATGTCAGAGGACGGCAGCCTCTGCAGTGGCAGGGGGCAATGCAAGTGTGGCCAGTGCATCTGCTCTGTTCCTGGGGCGTCTGGTGTTAAATGTGAAAGGTGTCTGACATGCGGCGACTCCTGTAGCTCTGCAATGTGGGTAAAAACCGATGTCCTCATCTTTTAGCTGAATAAAGATTTAACCTGGGAAAATTAGAACTGCTTAATCTCTGGGATTGATATTTCCTTACATGAAGATACACCAATTTTATGTCTGTTTGTGTTACTTTTCCTTTGTGCTACATGATCTGACTGTTCTTTTAAGTTCAGGGATATCACGTTTTGTTCTTCTTGTTCACATATGTCTACACCTTCCCTGTAACATCAAAAGACACTTATGTCCCCAACACAGCTCTAAAAGATTTCGTTTCTCTGCTGTAAAGCAGCTGTCAGGGCTGGTGCCATTTGATACCAGCAATACAGGGGATGCTGATGATAGAGAGGGGTGCAACCTTGGGAAAATGTTGATAAGTGACTAACACTGTGATTTCTTTGTATATTCTCTATCAGTAACGGAGCTTCATCAAATGTAGGTTTTTTAAGATTTTACACTAAACTAACCGTTTCTTTTTCTGTGTGTCTTTATCATCAGGAGCTGCGTGGAGTGCCATCTGCTTGAGAAGGATGACTTTGGGTTGTGTGAGCAAAACTGCAACGCTGCTAAAATTTCCATAAACACAACGGCAGGTAATGGATTCCACCTGTTTTACCTGTACCACTGGTTCCAGAGTTAACACTTACATTGCCCGCATTTTGTGACCTCTATTATTGCTTGTTAAGATATACATAGACTGTTAAATAAAGGCATTATTAAAAACATTGGGCAACTGTTGTAGACATTTGATGCCCAACTCGGTGTTTTGTAGTTTGACACACAACACTAATTGGACCATCAAATATTTTATAGATCTGAAGTGCTTGAAACAAATGGTTGTAATGGAGTAGAAACGGCAAAAAAAGTGTTTTTTTATTTTTTAAATGTTTACTTTTGCTCCATCTGTCAAAGATTTCTCTGGTTGAGCATATACTTTCTTTTTTTGGTTGTCCATTGTTTGAATTTGTTTTATCGACACACCTGACTCATTTGTACAATGGCATATTGTCTTATCTTGCCAGCTGTGAAAACTTGCTAAGAGTTAAGCCTTATCATATTGATCACCAAGGATCCGGGACTCTGGGTTTACTAAAATTACCCACTTCGGCTGACACAGAAAAGTAAAGAATAAATTACAACATTGCTTCAATTTTATTTTTATGGCTTACCATCAAATTGATTGTATTTTACTTGTAACATCAATATGTAGATTTTTTTTTATGTAGATATGCATTTATAGATATATGCAGATATAATTAGCATTTACATTAATTTATTCAGGGTATTTGTACATTTTTACCAGAACTGACTTTACTATGGGATGATGCTGTTCTGATGCTATAAAAAAACATTAACGGTGTGTGTGTGTATATATATATATATATATATATATATATATATATATATATATATATATATATATATATATATATATCCTCTCTCTGGCCTTTAGGGGTATTCCTTTTATTTGTACATTTGAATAAATTTATATTTTAAAATACATAAACAAAATTGACTTGATTACTAAGCGAAAAGAGAGCATGATGTTTGACTTGTTATTATGAACTTTTTATTTATTATTCTTATCTTATTTATGGGATTTGTTGAAGTCCAGACCATTGTTTCAACATTTTGGTTTACAAAAAGTGATCTGTTGGTTCGAGAAATTTAATTTTAGAAGCTTAAATGAGTCAAGATCCACCTCAATTTACCCATGACCTTGTACTTGAAACCTGCCTTGTAATCAGGTCAAAGTTAGTGTGAAAAAAAGTTGAGGTGCCATTTTCCCTGTCTGCTGTGCTGCAGTGTGGAAGATGATTTGGCATCCAAACTGGAATTTCAGATATTTCTTGAATGATCACTGACAAGGAAACAGTTCTCAAACAGTTTTCACTCACTCAAATATGCAACAGTTAACGGTTAACAATTTTCCTCCAGGCAACAACAAAACGGGAACGTATACAAGTTTCCAGCTCAGACACTTTGACTTTCACTATTTGTTCAATTAAAGACATAAAAAAAGCTCAAGAGTAAAAGGCCAAGACGGTGAAAGATATTTGCTTGAATTAAATCAGTGGTTAAAGAAAGGATTTATACCAATATTTCAACTCAGGTTTTGTTATATATCAGGGTCAACATGCTAAGTTTCACCTTGGGTCAGTGATTTGGAGGAATGCCGACCTCAGTCGACTCATGTGTCCCTCTGAAGTCTGCAACCGCATCCTTTTAGATACCACAGGACAATGGGGAACATATTATTTACGTTGTTGTACAGGCAGTGCTATTATAGTGACAGTGAATAGCCAAAGGAGCCAGTCATCCATCATGGAAGAGCTGATTTTTAAAACCGTTGTCCCTATGCAAGCTGAGAGGTGTATCTGACTATCACTAAAGGTTTCTCCAGCCTTTGTGTGACTAGATTATAATGTTTGATATGGAAATCCCACTGAAAGTCAAAAGAGGAAAGAACTATCCTTTTACATTCTCCAGTAAAGCACAAAAGGCTGCAGAAATGTATGTAGTTGATGCTTCTACTAGATTCACTTCATAAATCTTTGTATTGCTTTTTAGATTATGACAAGAAGGCTTCCATGGAATGTACACTCATGATGGAGAATGGGTGCAGGATGGCGTTTTTTGTAATAGAGGGTGAGACTGGAACCATTGCCTACAATCCACACAAGTATGGTAAGTTTTTTCTGATAAATTACAACAGATTCGTGACCTTCTGAAACTGACGGACACCTTTGATAAAAACTTTATGTCATCCGGACTCCAGGGTCTTTGGGCAGGCGTACACTGTACGATATTTTCAATCGATGTACTTTGAGGTATAGTGGAGGATGTTGTTTTTCTGGATGGATCATTAAAATAAGTGGTCCTCCTAATTGTCAATCATTCTGGTTATATATGTTTACATAAGACAAATCTTTTGGAAAGTAAGCTTGTATGAGCGATGCAAACAGCAACTTTTAAACAGAGCGTTGAGGTACTGTAGATTGGCTTGTAACTCTCCTTCAACAGCAGGATATGGTCAGGATCACCTCACAAGAGCCAACTAAATTTCAAAACTCTGCAAAGGATTACCGATTGGGGGGGGTCGTGATAAGCTGATCCCCTCTTGTTTCTCCCTCGATACTATACCACATAGGATGCATGATGAGGATGAGGATGTTTGGGTTGTTATAGATACTGCAACATCTATCTATCCATCTATCTATCTAGATGTATACTCTGTGTGTGACATAAAATATGGATCTCCATCCCTGCCACAAAGGCCATCAAATAATGTTTAAAATAAAAAATACAGTAGGTTGAAAAGTCAGAGCATCCATCCATCCATCCATCCATCCATCCATCCATCCATCCATCCATCCATCCATCCATCCATCCATCCATCCATCCATCCATCCATCCATCCATCCATCCATCCATATTTCTCCCTTTCTTCATATAGGCTATCATTTGATCGTTCACGCTCTCCATAGTTCTCCTGTGGCGCGAGCATAGGGCGACTGTTGCGCGCCTTTAGCGAGCATGCGCGTTTCCTGTCGCTTGCGCGGTGACTCGTGCCACCTGCGCTGTGCGGAGATGCAGAGGAAAGCGTTATGTGGCGGGGAAACGCAGCTCGACGTAACACCGGTATTTCCATGTGGAAAACGCTGTTTTGCTGCTGGATCCTCCTCACTCTCCATCTCTCTGTGTGTGCTGAACGTTAACACCCGCCAGCAGAAACACCCACCTACCCAACTGACAGATGGAATCTCACTCTACATCAGCCATTCTCATCCTCCCCTCTCTCATGACAAGGCGCGCACCTCTGGATGACCTAAAAAATAATCTTTAATATCTCTTAAACAAAAGTAGCACAAACAATATTTTTTTTCTGCACAAATCTGCACTAACGTTGCACTAACCATTCAGTCTATTTGCAGAGTTTTTTGACGTGGGTGGGGTGTCAGCTTCACGCAGCTGCGCACGAGTCCTATCATGAAAAAAGGTTAATTGTGCGACCTGAGTAACGCGCAGTAACGGGGTGTCTGCAATGGTAACTGCGTTATAGTTACAGTCAAAGTAATTAGTTAGATTACTCGTTACTAAAACAAGGTAACGGCGTTAGTAACGCCGTTACTTTCAACGCCGTTAGTCCCATCACTGCCTAAAAAGGCCCAAAAAGGGTAAAGAAAATCGTACAGTGTATGTCCACCCTTTGATTATGCATCCTGCACTTGGCTCACACCATAGATTTTCTATGGGGATTATGATCTTTGAAGCTTGATGCACATTGTTTTTGTGCATGTTAACCACTCCTGTATCGATTTTGGATCGATCATCCTAATAAAAGATTCAAAGGCACAATTTTTTTTTTCTGAATAAAAAAAAAGTGGTTTTAGAAGGCTGTCTGATTAGCAGTGGTCACATTTTCCTGTAATATGTTTGTTTTGAAAATAAAATTCCCTTAAATCATCTCCTCCTCATCTTGTCTCAGGATGTCCAGAGCCACCCAACATCCCTATGATTGTTCTGGGAGTCTCCCTCTCTGTTGTGTGTATTGGTTTGATTCTGTTGGCTGTGTGGAAAGCACTGGTGTCGGTCCACGACCGTAAAGAGGTGGCGAGGTTTGAGGCTGAGCGGGCAAATGCAAAATGGCAGACGGTAAGACCTGTTGATTAAATGATGTAGATGCTGATATTTTATATTTTTCTTGAATTCTATTATAATATCACTAAAGTATAAGTTTCAATTTTATTCAAATTGATCCAGAATTTCACTATTATTCAATGTCATGTAAAGTACCACTTTATTCGAGTACCTCTGCCAAGTTTACATTCCCACATCATGGGCAATAATGTTAGAGTAAAAGGTTTATGTGGAATTTCAGAGGCCCATTTCACAAAGCAGGTTTAACAAACTCAGATTTAAACCCTGCCCCGCCTCTCGCCCGTAGACAGCTGGAGATAGGCACCAGCACCCCATGTGACCCCACTTGGGGTAAGCGTGATAGAAAATAGATGGATTTAAACCCTCATCTCTTATTGCTCTAGCTAGCCTAAGGTTAGAAACTCTGATTTTTCAGTTTCACAATGGCTGCTGTTATTTTTATAAACTCTTGAGTAGGTCCACTTAGAGTTTAGCACATGTATAAGCATTTAAAGCCATTATCAGTGGAGCCCCGATTTGACGAGTCACCATGACAACAGGTAACAGGAAATGTCTATTTCAATTGACTGAAATTAGAGATTTGATGAATTAGAAAAAATATTGGAGAATGTATTTAAAAGTCAGAGCAGAAGCGCTACAGCTGCAAACAAGAGGGAGATGGAATAGGATTAAATTGAATTAAAGCATACATTTATATAAAGTCCACATTAGCAGGCCATTTTAACATTTATTAAAAGCTCTCTCCTCTCTAATGTTCCATTTGTAGAAAACTGAAATAAGATTCTTCCTTGTCAAAATCATATGCCTAATTGGAACTGTAACAACAGATTTTCTAAATTCCATTTTTGCAGCAGAAACTCAATTTCAGAAAGTAAAAAAACAAACAAAATTGTACCCCTAAGAATGATTGTTTTTATACCTAGAAATTTTTACACATTTTAAATGAAAATTATCAGCTGGACTGAATATGTATATATGAAATCTAAAATATATTTTTTTCCTAATCAAAAAAATTCCAAGTTATTAGCTATAACAACAGGAATATGGCGATCTGAAATTAATTTCTAAATATCTAGAATATTATCCAGAATAGGTGTGAAGAATGTAGTTTTGTTGGAAATGTTCTTTTGACAAAGAAAAAATGTATTTCAGATATCAGAAACACCTTTTCAGTCAAACGAATACATATCAAAATGGCCTGCCATAGCCTGTTGTGACAATCATAACATTACGGAGAAAACTAGTTAATTGCTAGAATGTTAGTGGATCAATGTATTCTGTTTAGGTGAAATCAACTGGCAGCAGGTTAAGATGAAGTATAGAAAAGTTGTTTAAAACAGATAGGAGCTGTGCATCATCTCATGTGTTCCTCCTCAGTTTGTCTTCCATTACAGAGTAAATATTAAGTGGCTTTTTGCAGCCTCTTCGAATGTTATCATCGCAATCAATGGTCATTATTAGCAGTTATCAGTCCCATAGAATATCTTCAGATTGTGCTTCCTACCTACCTGTGGGTGCAGTAGGTTGTTATTACTGAATTAATCCTAATCCTAACCCTGAAGTTATTCCTTTTCCAGTTAAATAAATTTATCTATTTATGAGTAATCTGAAAATAATTTCAGTAGTTCTTCATGTATTGTAATAAAATAATGGTTTGAACATCGCTCATATGAAACAAAGCAAAAACAAAAAATCCCATATCCTGTCAACTGTGTGGTTTTAATCACCACAATAAATCTATTTGACTGAAACACGAGGAATTTAGTCAAAGTAAAGCTTTAAAATGCAGTAAATAAAAAAGATGCATTGTAAAATAGGCAAATGGTGGTTTTAGATAAGGCAGAAGCAGCTGTTATCAATGGTAAACTGCATATCAATCGAAAAAATATAGACAGTGAAAGAGATCCAGTTATAAGCCATTCTATGTGACTGGTGCTGTTTGACTGTGTAGTTGTTTTCTATAATGCTGTTATCACGCATCAACGTTCTCTCACTGATATCAAGCTCTGTTAAATACCTGTTAAAAAAGTGTAATGCTGCAAACATGAGAGCGGTATAAAGTCGTGGATGTATGTGATGGATTGTGAGGTGAAATGGTAGCATTCATAAAGATAACATTCTGAATATAAACTTCTTTATGCGGTGTGAGAACCCTCTCCTTGTAAATATGTAATTCCATTTAAATTATTGCCGATCATTCTTTAACTGGATTCTCGTCAACAGGACATGCTATGTTTGTGTTTTTATCACCGAATGGGCCTAATGACTAATTTTCTTTTTGTATTATATGCACAAAACTCTCCTGACTAAATCAGGAAATAAAACAATGGGATTGGCTTTAAGGAGGATGGAGACAGAGTGCACTCTGAGAAAAGAGAACCTGCTCCCAACCAGGTTAGATCTAGGAGGATGTTACTACGGTAACAGACATTGAGTAAACTCTCTTTGTGAAACGGAAAAGTCAGAGTTTCCCTGATTTCAGATTTAGAAAACTTAAGAATTTTCAGTAAACCTCCTTTGTGAAACGAGCCCCAGACATTTGATAGAAAACTTTTTAAAATGGGTTTGTTTTGTGCCATGACTCTACTCTGTACATTTTCAAAATGATTAACTTCTCTCTCACTCTACAAACAGGAAGCTAGCCTGCTTTTTTGCATTTTGCATTCCAACATTACCTAACGCACAGGATCCTCATGATGTTTGGACTCCCAATGGGCTCTATGCAATACTCCACTACTTTCCTGAAGTCAAGGCAGCTCCTTTGTTTCCTGTCATCACTGGATGAATTGATTAAACTAGGGCTGAATCCCAAGCCGCTCCCTAACCACTAATACTTAACTATCGCAGCTGTGGAAGGCTCCTTGATTAAAGGTGTGGATATAAACGAGAAGGGGTTGGCCTTCCCTCCAACGGAAAAGGAAAGCAGTCATTGCTATGGCACCATAGTGACGCACCATGTTCATGGCTGTAGCTCTGTGGCACAGGGTGACATAAAACATCATATTTGCCCCCTACTAAAACAAATGTATACAGTCAAATATAACTATTTCAAAGATGACCTTCCTTTATGGAATTAATTACAGTTTTTTCATATATCTAACTTGTGATTTTTCGTCAATGATGAAGATACAGCAAACCAGTGGAACTTGCATTTAAATGCAAATTTAAGTGCTGGTATACCTGCTGCCAAATTCCAGCGAGCCTGCACTTAAGGCAGACTCATTGCTTAAAGGCTGAACGGTCCATTCGCCTAGCCTGGGTGCCATTCCGAACTTAGTCCCGCCCACAACGTTTGAGGTTGGGAAGTTCGGTCTGGCATTGCTCCATAGTAGCGCGAGTATGCTCGCACAATATCTGGCGGGCCAATCAAAATTGTCAGGGCGGCCTTTATACGATGATGAACAGATGATCAACAGTAACATAATCAACCAAGTCACCAAAGCGCGCTTGGGTGACAACAACAATGGCTGCCGCTGGAGAGTTGAGGTGTGCAGATTCTGCTATTAGGTCTGTTCTAGAAGATATTGACAGCAAATTAATTTTAAAAGAGGAACAGAGAAACGCGATCACGGCTCATCTTCTTATTCTAGGCGTGCAACTGCACGCTTTGATTTTTGTTGACAACAACTATGCGTCGCTTAACATATGTCACGCACTCCGTTGCTCTTATTGGTTGTAGGTCTATCCAATTGAGTGCAGAGGCATTTTTTTTCCTGGTTCGTTCGATACACGCCCCATAATCACAGCTCTATGGAGCAGTATCAGACTCATATTCTGACTAGAATTGAGTAGGACTACGTCAGGCTACCATTCGCCCTACCCACTACGTGGTTTGGGATTGCACTTAATGTGGCGGACCCTCCGCGGGAATGCCCAAACGGAGGGTTAGTGCTTTGGGACCAGTTTGGGAAAGGGTCTAGGTATGTCTAGCCATTGTCGTCATGGTTACTGATGTAATCAATTTATCCACTAATGACAGACAGGAAACAAAGGAGCTTCAGGAAGCAGTGGAGTTGTGCATAGAACCCATCAAGTCCAAGGTTCCACTGTCTATATACTTTTCTATCTTTCTCAACGGGAGTGGTACTGCCCCCTGGGGGGTTGGGGGGTCGGTGCGGGGTGGTATGGTGTTGCCATCATTTGGCTTGTACAAAGTAAATTTCAATTTTACATTTTAAACTTTCATGGAATCCAAACTAAAAAAATTATTTTAAAGAAAATCTATAGCTTCCATCACTTAAACCACCAGCACCCTATAGTTTTTTTTTTTTTTTTTTTTTTGAGGGGGAATTTTTTTGAAAGCCACTAATCTATAGATATACTGAGATTTACTGAACTGAGATCATCTTCATTAGTCCCACAAAATAGCCCCATGTCGTGATGCTAGCAATTAATAGAGTATTTTTTAAGTTTGAAAACTTCCAATGTAGAATGCTAAAAACTTCAGCCTAATCATGAGGGATTTCTGTTTGGAAAAGATGGTTTCTTCTTGACTGTCTCTCGTAGCCCATGTTAAAGTAATCGCTCTGTTGGTTTCTGCTCATATAATATGTGGACCTTAAAATTGTTTTTAATCATGTCAAAACAGATTTGTCTTTTCTGTCTTTTTTTCCAGGGGACCAACCCTCTGTTCAAAAGCTCCACATCTACATTTAAAAATGTGACTTATAAAAACACACAGAGAAAGGAATGTACGATAAATCACTACTGATGATAAACTGGAGGCATTGAAAGCCATCATCTGACTGTACCTCAGTGCATATGCAGCGCTTTTTAGATACGTTGGTCTGAGATTAAAATGAATAACTTTTTATTCTGTTTTACATCATAGATGATGCAAGATGGTAGAAAATCATGACAAATGAATTTCTGTTAAAGTGCACTGCTGGTAACATACTGAAAGACACTAAAAGTCAATGTTTCTGCTATGTTAGCTTGGTAAAGAGGGACACACATAAGTGGATAACTACTGAAAAACGGATTCATTGAAATGTTTGTAAATATTGTGTTTTTATGTTTTATTATGTTTGTTGCTTTATTATAAAGCAAGGCTGAGCCTTTAATAATGCAAACTTTTGCGTTGTTTTTTTTTTGTTCTTTTAAAGGAAAACTAATCAAGACTACTTCTTACTGTGAATTACTTGATATGCAGTTTTGACTGAATGTATATGCTTGTTAGTACTTGACAGCGACAAAAGGTAAAGTTTGATCTTGTCAAACCAGCAATGTTGTCCTATTGTCTGGTCATACTGCTGTTAAAAAGTTTATATATTTAACGTTTTGAGTTTCTTTTAGCATTTCATTGTCCACTGATTTTTTTTCACTGATCTTGGAATAGATTTGTTTTCAAGGGACTTTAATATGTTAATATTTTTTTAGGATTGTTTTTCTCTAAATTAAGTTGTCTCTTCCTGTTATTGCATACAGCAAATCTCATGAACTCATGACATGTCGGTCATTTAAAGTGCAAAATATGACCACTATCCTACCACACTGCGTTAGTTATAGAGCTAACTTTAGCCATCAATCCATAACATCCCATAAATTGTCATCAAATAACAGTTTTTTTTTTAAGAAATTTGGTTGGCAATATAGCACATACATGGAATAGAATATTTGAAGGTTCCGTTTTGATATATCTAAAATATCAGACTCCTATTCTTTTTTTTTAACCAAATATTTTAATAGAAATTAGAAACTATTTTTGGTTTTTGAACATAATTCTATGCATATTTAAAACAAAAGCTGAGGTGTCTCAACCTGAAAACCATTTATAGAAGGACTTTGGTGTGATTCCCTCACAATTATTACAGCACAAGCTAATTTAAAAAAAATTTAATAAACAAATACATTTAAAACCTTTTTTTTGTAAAAGTCTATCTGATTAGACTTGCCAGTTTTTTGTTACACAGGGCTCTGCTGCCTCGGGACAAACTCCAGATGTTGCTCTGGTTCTTTTGTCAGCTTGGCAAATAAAGGTCTTTGGATCTTAAATTTTCCAATACAATGTATATTATGCTTGCGTTGCACAACACAAAAAAGGGTTATGCCACCTTGCAAGTAACAAAATCTGTTAACTGATTGCATCTCAACACAGCAAAAAGGCATCCAACCTTTCTTTGTCTTCCAACTGAGGGATCAACATGGAGGTGTGTTACCTTGTCCTTTGCTCTTTTGTGCCTTGACATTTTTTTTTTTTTTTGTGAATTGGTGCTATTTAAATAAACTGAATGAAATGGCAACTCCGGTGGTTAGTGACTGTGCTTCACAGACCCCTTAGTTTTAATGTATACCTGTACATGAATGGTTTTAAAAAGCTGCGCACAAACTCAACACTTTCAAATGTGGAAGGAACCAAATAATCTATTTATATGTGATAATTGTTGCAGCAGACCATGGGCCAAAAATATATTTAGTGTATATTACAATTATGAAAATAAGATCTTATGAAATGCAACTTGTGATGGACTGTCGACCCACCCAGTGTGTGCCCCGCCTTTCACCCATAGACTGATGGAGAGAGGATGGATTAAAGGCAACAAAAGAGTAAGGAACTGTATAACAGTATTTGTGTTAATAGCGTTTATTTTATTTTTTTGCAACTTTCTTTTATTAACCAGGCATTTACTTTTTAGAATTGATGAAACTTTAATTAGCCGATAGGTTATATCTTTGATAAAAACTAATGTTTTTTACAACTGAGGGAAAAAGTGTCTGCAAAACATGATGACATTTGATAAGCAAAGCCACTTCAAAGAATCTGAAATATCCCTTTACACCTGCAAAGGAGTACTATTTTTTCATATAGTAATTAATCATACAGCCTAGCTGATGTACATTTACATATATTTAAAAACTTTGATAAACTATCTGTAGAAAACCCTTTGGAAAAAATATTTGTTTCATAGAGTCCCAAGAATAAATAAGGAGTTAAACTTTTTATACAGAAAAGATAGTATACCCTTTTTGGTTGGAGTTTAAATCATTGTTATTTGACAGAAATGGCATATCCCCATTTTATTTTGCACACATCAAATCAGGTTAAAATGCTGAAACCTGCCAGCAAAACATGTTCACTTTTATTATCCTGGTGCCTGCAGTTTGGATTATGTAGATAAAACCACCTACCAGCTGCCGCGGAAAACCGCAAGGAGGCGACCGGGCCAGAGGCTGTTGCTGAATGGGATTTCTGAGCGGCTCCGACAGAAATAATATTTGAAGGCAGGATGGTACTGTAATCTGGATGAACTGACTGCACTGATTAAGTTTTCAGCTGGATTTTCCCACTTAAAAACATATTAAAACTACTTTATTCCCACTGATCACAGCAAATATAGCTGCAGGGAAAATAAAGGATAGGGTAGCTCCGCTCAACTTAGTCCTACTTTTTGACTGCGAAGCGAAGGCACCAAAGCTGCTTCAGCCGGGAGTCAGAACTAAACTGGTGCAAGCAGCAAAAAGGAAGCAGCAGACACGTTTTTGCTGCTGCTGCTGCTGTGTTTGGTGTGAACATAGTTTTAATCAGCTTTCAGGGTGGCCATGGCCACCCCTGGCCCCCCATCTAGCTCCGCCCCAAACCATCAGAGAAGTGTTTGGGAAATTTGTGGATGCTGCTTTCCTCTATATTTAACTTCTTTCTTTTTTTTTTTCTTTTTTTTTTTTTGGGAGGGGGATTGTTGGGAAACCTTTGGTGAAAAAGTTTCCTGTCCCAGTGGAAGGACAGCAGGGCGGCAGGGATGCAGCTTGGAGCCGGACAGCTGCTGCTGCAACACCTCCGTCAGACGTGACGTCGCTGCTGGAGGACAAAACTCCGGAGAAAGTTTTCTGGAAGAGAGGAGGGAGGAAAAAAAAGGCAACAGATCCCGAAAACAACTGGAGAATGAGCGCTCACTCTGTGCTCTGCCACATTTCAACCATCTGTCGAAATGTTTCTGCGCTTCTGGCGCTGCGTGGACTCGCTCTCTGCTTTCGTGGCGCTCGCTTTTATAACTGTGTTGTTTTCTAAAGTCTGTCTGTGTAACCCTGAGGAGGACGATGAGGTCCTGGGGAAAAACCAGCTCGCTGAGCTTTACAGTAAGTTTATTCTCCATCATCCAGCCGCAGAGCGCTTCTTTTCTTTTATAGCCGCATAGATCCACTACGCACAGATTGGCTGCAGTATTGCGTAACTGCGCTGCTTTGTGTTAATGTAGAATATCATGTTCTCTCTGGAGTCATGCATGTGACTATGATATAGATTTAGTTTTTAAGAGGTATATTATAGACTCACAAAAGCAGCACAAGGCTTAAAAACAAGCATTTCCTATTTTTCAAAATAAAACGCTCCCTAACAAAACTAATATAGCATATCTAACTGGTATATTTCGTCTTGGTAAATTAATATGAGGTTATCAAGTTACATATATTTATGATATTTAGCTCAAACTGAGCTGAAAGGAAAGACCCGTGAATAAAGAGTTTATTCAGTTCTTTACTCAAGCTGCTTCAAAGGGACTTATTGGCTATAGGCCTAGAGCAAATAGAGATAAAAGGATTGAGCAGCCAGAGGTCAGAGTTGGACAGTTGTTCTTTGATTGGCTCTGATAAAAGAAGAAGAAAAAACACTAGAAAATAAACATCTAAAATAGGCTAAAAGCATATGCAAAGGATACGCTTGAAAAACATCTATAAACAAGAAAAACATTCTTAAATGAAGTGTATTTGCCCTTAATTTGAGTAGGTAAATGAGATAGTTTGCCAATGGAATGAGTGTTTTCCATCTTAGAATAAGATAATCAGATAAAATGCACTTGAAATAAGACAGTATAAAATTGACATTTTATATGTAAATTGTCTTTTTCCATTGACAAAATGTCTCACTTTCCTCCTCAATTCAAGAAAAAGTGCACCTATTTTAAGAAAAAAATGTAGATTTTAATTTTTTGCAGTGTATGAACTAATTATTTTCAAATGACCTCTTATCAACGTGCCTGATGCGTTTTTTCTCCTCTTTAATGAGTTATAGTCCAAAGGGGGGAAAATGATGGGCTGGTAAAACCTCAAATAAAGAGAAACATATATTTTTTGTTTGTTTGTTTCATGCTACTTTCTCAATAAGGTAGTTTCTCAAATTGGTCATGATATTTTTCAGAAAATCCAACTCATGTTTACAAATATTTTTATTTGTTCTACTTCATCAGTGTTTATATACATCACCAGATAGTAATTATAATGAAATTACATTAATATATACATTAAAAATAAATATTGCATCTCTTTTAAAATCTCATGACATATCAGCTTGCTTATCTCTGATTAGAGTAAGTATGAAATATACTTAAAATGCACAATATAAAATTTGTACATTCATAGAAAATATGTGTTTGGAAATGAGGAGCAATGAACCCACTCTTTTTTTTTGAAAACTTTACCTTGATTTTTTCTCTTGTTTCTCTTCCTTTCACGGAGCTACCACTGCCATCCTGCCATTAACTCTCCTGTCACATAACAACTGATGTGGTTGCAAGTAGACAAAGTTTAACAAATGGAAATGACAGTGAGAAAAAAAAAATTAAATACTAATAGATCACTCAAGCCCATGCTTGTCATTGAAGTAAGGAATTTCTCTGCTATTTGTCGATAATGTTAGTGTTAAATAACTTTTAATTTCAGTCTTAGGAGGGACTGAGTCCAAAATCTGGCCAAGGGACAGAGGTCATATAGTAAAAACACGCTATATAAACCATGTCTTATACACTATAAATATTAGTTTATAATTTTTTTTATGTCTTTGTGTGTAGTAAGTACAATATAAATAGCAAATTAAATATTTTTTTGTTTTTCTTATTTCTGCCCAGAGCACAGATTGAGTTAGATTAGTTGCAAACATTTTCACTTTGATCAGAAGTGGGAACCACTTTTACTTCAGATTTCCTTAGATAATCTTCTTTAACTGTTTTTTTTTGTTGTTGTTGTCAAATGTTTACTTTGATAACACATCCAATTTACAGGAGTCTTCAGTTACAACGACTGATTTAAAGATGTTGTAGCAGGGATAAAGTACGTACCACCCGCTGGCCTGTGACACTTAAAGGGCAGCGGTCTCAGAAGACCATTGGGGACAGCTGCTGAGAAAAATGTGTTTAATTGCTTTATTTAAAGAAAGGTCATAAAGCATCACCAAAATGTCTATTCTTCAAACCCCTTAGCAGAACAAGCTTGATTTACTTTCCTGCACACTTTTGTGAAGTTCTCCACCACCCCTCACCCCCTGCACATCCTACTATAAATTACTGTGTGAGAAAATGTTGCACTTATTTTGAAATAAAATTGGGTGAAGTGCAAACTGCTTCCTGAGGTTGAAAGCTGCCAAAGTTGTTAAAAAATGAAATATTCAGTGGAGATCCAGACAGCTGAGTGAGACACAATTTCTCTGACAATTTGCAAAATGTGAAACTTTTTTATGTCATATTTTATGTCAATTAGATTTACGCTTTGGCACTAATTTGTGCTATTTTGAAACATTTAGTTTTAACTCCAATTTGGCAGTAAAAGCAGATTTCTGATATCAATTTTCCCTTTGAGTCATTAAATAAAAATCTCTCTCCAAACACAAGTAATTCAGGATTTTGCTGCACTGTTGCTCTTGCCAGTGAAAACAGAGCAAGGACGTCTGAAAGCTGAAAATACATTTGGTCTCACAGACATTTGATACCTTATACTTGAAAAACACCCCATTCAAAAACAATTTTCTCTAGCAGCTTGAGCTATAACACAAACAAGTTTAAAACATCTAGAATGTAGCAGTCTCCAGCAGGCCAATGTGAGCTCAAGTTAAAATGTTTCCTTAAATAATGAACCATGCGTTCTTTTTTTCTGGATTTAGCATAAAGAAATATACAAAAGAAAAAATATATACAAAAACATCAAACTGCTTTGGGAAGAAACGGTTTGCTCATCGCTTTACGTTAAATGCATAATGCTTAGAAACATATTATTTTGGACATCTGGGAAGATTCTCAGTCATCCAAGTCATGGTCAATGCTGAAAAAATGAAGTTTATGCAACTGGACATTTTCTAGAAGACGTTTCCCCTCTCATCTAAGAGGCTTTTTCAGTTCTAACTAGTGGTGGGAAACCCCGAGATTAATATACTGTAGGTGTAACAAAGAATTAGGGGGAACACTGAGATAAATTATTCTAAATGGAAAATAATGCTATTGTACGTCACACTCATTTAGATTAATTTACTATGTTTAACTGTACTATATAGCAACAACCCACTTGACTATCTCAGCTCCCTCTCCCTACAGAAAAGGGCTTCTTCATCCTGGAGAGTGTTCAGCTGAAGCGCTGCGTGACAGTGATCAGCTCATACGTGTTGCTGGTGGACTGCGAGCAACCCACGCGCCGTATGCTGTGGAAGTGGGTCTCCAGACATAGGCTCTTCAACTTGGGCTCCAGTATGTGCCTAGGCCTTAACATTTCAGAAATAAAAGAGCCATTGGGCATGTTTGAGTGCGACATGAAATATCCAGTGCTGTGGTGGCGCTGCATTGGAAACATGCTTTATGGCGCATCAGAGTGGAAGCTGACGGCATCTGGAGGTGTGGTGGTGGTAAAAAAGAATGTGTACTATGAATGGAAGAGACACAACACGCCCAGAGAAGGCCCCTGCTCGCATCCATATGAAGGTAGATGAAGCACTGATTGTATAGAAAGTACTATATTTCTCACTGCTGATGAAATGTTTGGTTTACAGAAACCCACACTCTGTTGGGAAACGCACATGGATATCCTTGTGTTTTTCCTTTTAATTACAACAACAAATGGTACGTGGAGTGTACAACCGAGGGCCGAGAGGATGATCTTCACTGGTGTTCTACCACCGATCGCTATGATCTGTCTGAAAAATGGGGCTTTTGCCCTGTTGAAGGTAACATAACTGCGCAAACTGTCATATTTGCATCTGTTGATGTAGGCAGCACCATAAGTGGGGGTTAACATTGAAACATCTAGGCAAGGGTTGGTTGAAGGGGAGAAAAGCAGGGTGTTTGCCTGCATGAGAAATTAGAATAAATGAAAGATAAAAGAATTTAGGAAGCTTTGCCCCAAAACTTTAACTTCTATTTGAAGTGCTGGATAATTAATCTCATTCAAGACTTTTTTTATTCTTAATTCAGCTTTAAAATGCAATGTTAATTCAAGAAATCCCATCAAATGAAATTATCGTGCTGCGTAGAATTATTATTCCACTTGTTTTGAATACCTTTTCTATCAGATTTTGTATTTCATCTTGTTTATTAGTCAACCTTTTTTTGCAGTGTAACAAGTTAATCATAGTGCCGCAAACAGCGTTGAGTTTAAAACAAAGATTAAAAACTAAGGGCAAGATAAATATTGGGAAGATATTGGTAAAATCTTTTTGATATCAGAATGTGCCTCATTATATTTTAAAGAAATACAGTAAACTGAGAATCAAATAGCTTTCTTCTAGGGCTGTTATGGTATGATTTTTATCAGAAGTTGGTCTTTTAGAAACCCTTCAATTTGTTTGGTTAATAATTTAGGGGAGAAATTTTTTCTTCTGGATGACATTAAGTAGTGTCTTCTGCTTGAAAAATATTACTTGATCAAGCCTCTTCTATCATTCTACCCTACAAAATAAGTAATAAAAGTATATGTGATTAATGCTAATATCTTCTCGGGTCAATGTCGGTATCAGGAAAATACTCAAAACTGCAAAATCTGTATCGTATAGGAAATGAAAAAGTTGAATTGGGACACCCCTACTTTCTTTACTTGTTAGATTTCCTTAAAAGTCTCTTTGAATGCCTCATAAATGGCTTAGCTACTACCTTTTTGACTGAAGTTTCAACTTTTAGTTTCCAGTTGTGAGCACTTCTGGGATTCAAACCAAGAGCTCCAGGCATGTTACCAATTCAACCTGTACACCGTCCTCACCTGGAGTCAGGCGCTGTCCACTTGTCTGGCTCAAGGGGGGAATCTGTTGAGCATCACCAGCCTGGCAGAGCACAGGTACATCCGAGGTGGGCATCCCATAGAAATTGAACCATATTACCTTTATTTATGCGGTCAACAACGTGCTGACTTGTACTGAAAAGCTTTTGGGTTTTCACAGGTCTAGTGCTTTAATTGTAATTTATGAAACCACTTGAAGTTGTTTTTTTACTTCTACTTTTTATATGTTGGGTTAGATCGACTGGCAAATTTTGGTGTGATGGTGTGGTTTGGGCTGAACCATCTTAAGGACGGGTACGGATGGAAGTGGTCAGACGGAGCTCCTGTTTCACTAGTGAATTTCACTACAGGTACTGCTTACTTATTAAATCTGCTTCTCAAGTTTCTTACCAACTTCATGTCGAAATAAAAAAGGCTCAACCTTAACTGTCGTTCAGCTCTAGCAGCTGGTCCGCTAGAGACTGACATGCAATGTGGGATATATAATCCTGCCTACGGAGGTCAGTGGCAGAGTCTTTCCTGTGAGTCTGCACTGCCTTACATCTGCAAGAAGACACCAAATAATACCAGCACAGTGGAGCCACTTGGTAAGAACCCTTTAAACCCTAAGGACAGACACTGCTCACTCAAATGTCTGAATGCTTTCCTGCTTCTTCTGGTGGCAGGTATGAGCCTGAAGAGCAGATATTACCCATTTGGTGTTTTTTATACCTATTGTTGCTCTTGGAGCTAAGATACTTCTCCAGGTGCTAGACAGCTGGAGAGGAAACTTTAAAATTTCGTCTCTGTTCCTGTTGCCTTTCTTGTTGTGCTTGTTTTTGCTTCACTTATTGCAAATTTTGCTTCTTCTCCTCTCAGAGAACTGGCAGTACGTCCATACCGAGTGCGCCGATGGCTGGTGGCCTCATAATGGCTTTTGCTACCGCACCCTGGCGGAAAAAGAGACCGGAAGCTGGGAGGAGTCGTCCCGAGCCTGTTGCTCTCTGGGTGCAAACCTCACCAGTGTACATTCCTTGTCAGAGGTGGAGATGCTGCTTAATCTGCTGGCTAACTGTAAGAGAAATCGACTATATGTTAACAAACATGACAGTTAACATATTGGTTTTAGATAGAAGTTTTCCCAACAGGCAAAAGTTAGGATTTTTATTAAAGTGAGACACTCCTTTCTGGCATCCTGCAGGACCTTATTAGAAAACATTGCTGCTTTTAATTCATTTTTGAATCTTTATTTTTTTTTTTTCTTCTGGGGTTTTTTATGAGATGTACTTTTAGTTGAAAATCATTCAAGCACAATTGTTCATAAACTCATGGGAAACAGTCCGATTTGTAAAAAAAACAAAAAAAAAACAAATGAATTATTTGCATAGAGTCAACCAGATCCAACTCCTATAGTTGAATATCTTCAACACAACACAAGGGAGGAGTGGGGGCCTAGTGGTTAGGGAATAGAGCTTGGAATCCTGTGTTTGTTAGTTCGAAACCCACTCCCACAGACTGCCACTCTGGGTTTCTGAGCAAGGATCCTTAACTCCTCCCTGCTCCCCTGGCGCCCCATGATTGCAGTGCACTGCTCACCAAGGGTTAAATACAAAGGTAAAAATCTCCAATGTCAGATTAATAAAGTTCAATTATTATATTTAATATTAAGACATGTTTCTTAGATGATGTTCTTTGCTGTAGGTAGTTATATTTTTAGGTCTTGTATTTTTCTCCACTCTGAGCATTTTTGAGAACATTCTGTATAATTAATTTTATTGATCACAAAACCTGTTGACAGAAAATTGGTTGACATGAGATCACAAGAAAGCATCTAATTTCATTTAGCCAATCATGAAGAAATAGGCTGGTTTTTAAAATTGCCATGTATTCAGTTGCACTGAATACAAAGACATTAGCTTTTTCTTTAATCTTGCATTTATGTACACTGTATATACTTTGTTCTAGAACAGTCAGTATTTACATTTGTTTTAAAACAATTTTTCCGTCACGCTTATTCTAAGCGGGGTTGCAAGGGGTGCTGGTGCATATCTCCAACTGTCTATGGGCGAGAGGCGGGGTACACCCTGGGCAGGTCACTAGTCCATCGCAGAGCAACACAGAGACAAACGACCATTCACACACACTCACGCCTAAGGAGAATTTAGAGAAGTCAATTAACCTAACAGTCATGTTTTTGGACCGTGGGAAGAAGCCAGAGTACCCGGAGAGAACCCACACATATTCAGGGAGAACATGCAAGCTCGATGCAGAAAGATCACAGATCGAGAATCGAACCCGGAACCTTATTGCTGCAAGGCAGCAGTGCTACCCACTGCTAAATGCTCATTTTTATTTGCTGCAATTGCTCTCTGAAATTAATTTTATATTGTGCATTTTAGTCATCTTTCAGCAAACTTCTCACAGGTTTTTGAAGTTTTGGCCCATTCCTTGTAACAGAATTTGTGTTCGCAGTTTGCAGACCACCTTCCTCACATTTTTAAATGTTCCGTCTGGACTAAGACAGGGATTTGTGATGTCCTCTCCAAAAAAAAAACTCGCTTCCTTATTTTTAGGCTCATTGTCCCTAAAGAAGATGTTTTAGTGGTTCTTCCTCTCTGAATGGCTCCTAAGGCCATGTTGGTAGAAGCTTTCTTTCCTACTTCAGGCAGGATCTTCACGTTCCTTTGACTTTGATTCTGGGTTTTAGACACATTTTAGTCCAAAAATCCAACCACTGAAATGGCATGATGGCCAAATATTTATATAGCTTTATTTTGTTTGCCTATAACTGTCTGAACAGATGTGTCATGCAGTTGTAGCCAATGATAAACTACACTTGTGGAGGTCCACACTTCCCCTCCTGTTATCCTGGCTGATTTCCACTGATTCCTCCATGATGGCACGCACGGAGCTGTATGTTGATAGCATACACCTCCACAGGGATGCATCCAGTTAGAGGCTTTCACAGCCATGTTATCATGATAAAGGGTTTCTCAAATTGTTTAAACTTATGCTAATTTATGTGTTAATCATCTGAATTTGATATTCCTAACTGGGCAAAAAAGGAGACATTTGGCCTGATTTAATGTAAAAAAAAAAAAAATAAAATACATAAACTAAGTTATGTGTCCTTTTTAAGCAGAGTATGTAATATTCTGGTTAAACTTTTCTAAAAGGGAGCTTTTATGCGAATTATGCCTTTATCTTATTCAGTATAGTTGCAGTTTAATCGTATTTGCATTCAGATTTTGTTGTTTCCTCATCTGTAGATTCCAGGGAAATTACAGAGGTCTGGATCGGCCTAGTGAAGCAGGGGTCATCACCAGGCATAGAGTGGTCAGATGGTACACCAGTAACTCTGACTCTCTGGGACCAGTATCACCCTCCTACCAACATGTCAGATTCAACTCTTTGTGGCAAAGTGGAGAAAGAGGTAGGATGCTGTGTGTTGAGAGAGAGAAAGAGTGCCCTTTGTTGCTATCCTGAAAAAACTTCTCTTTGTCACAGAAAGGTAACTGGCTTTTAGCCACATGTGACGAGCGACACCCTGCTGTGTGCAGAAGGGAAAGCCAGAGTCCAGTTCAGCGTGAAGGAACCTGGGATCAAGGGTGTCCTGCGGTAGGAGACTGAGTGGAAAGTGCTAACTGTTCAGCCTGTAGCTACCTGCTGTGTGTTTGGGAGAAAAACAAGTCGAGTCATAGATGGCACGCTATAAGCTTGGCTTAGATTAGAAGGAGGTTACATGACACATTACATGGTTTCACAACATTCCCACTTAAACTGATGAATGCCTGCAGAAAGTCACAGCAGGACAAGCAAATATATACTTTCAGTGTTTTTTCTCTTTCTTTCTTTCTTTCTTTCTTTCTTTCTTTCTTTCTTTCTTTCTTTCTTCTTGGTTGTCTTTTATTATCAAAAGGAAGTTGAGATTATTCTTTGTGACAACTGTTAATGTCTTGAGTTTTCAAGGAAAGAAAAAAAAAACCCTCCAAATTATATGTTTACTGTAATAACAGAAAAAAAACATTTTAGAAGAATATTCTAAGCTTTTGAAGACCATCTATATTAAAAAATGTAGAGCTGATTGATGATGTAGAGCTGGTTGAGCGGGGACGCACAATACAAAAGAGCCACACACCCACTGTAGCTCAACTCTTAGTCAAACAACTTGCCCCTTCAGAAGCACAAAGAGGTGATTCACCCGCCCGCTGACGTATTGTCTGGCATCCATGGTTCTCCCTGACTCTGTTTACTAAAATATCAGCCTCCTGAGTCATCAAGCTACTTGGTACTCAGGAAAAGGAGACCAAAAAATTTACCCCAAGGGCATGCTATCAACTGTCATGCTTGAGCAGTCTGTTTATTCTTGCCTGATGTACTGCAAAAAAAAAAATGCTTTCTCTGTCTCTTGTGTTGCATTAAGTTCTTTTTAAAAAAAATAAAAAATTTAGTTCCTGATTAAAAAAAAAAAGCCGTCTCAGAAAAGTTTCCTGATGCAAACGTGAGGGTGAGGGTCTGGATCTCGTAAGGCAGCTGAGAGTTTCAGGCTTTATAGGGGTGAGGGGGCAAAATTTATACCACCTGTCCAAACAGCCTCTTATGTTCCCTTTTAAAATGAGTACAGATATTGCTGAAAGAAGAAACACAGAGGACATTCTTCCTAAATCAGATCTGGGGCTCGTTTCACAAAGCAGGTTTAACAAAAGACTGAAATCCTGAACTCTTAATTGATTTAGCCTGAGGTTGGAAAGTTTTGGGGTTCACAAAGTCTGCTGTAGGTTAGTTTAATCGCTCTAAGTAGGTCCACTCAGAGTTGAACACATGTGTAACAAGTATGAAAAGTCATTATCAGTGGAGCTTCAATTCAACGGGTCACCATGACGACAGGCAACAGGAAGTGCCTATTTCACACCACTCGAACTAGAGATTTTAATGCATAAATGAAAAACAGCATTACAGCTGCAAAGGAAAGGAAGATGGCGAAGAAGAAGATTGCTGCTAGACATAATGCATTCTTATTTGAACTACCACTATGGCAGGCTGTATTGTACATTTATTTAAAGCATTCTCCTGTCTGTTGGTCAATTTGAAGAACACTAAAATAGGATTCTTCCCGGTCAAAATAAAACTCCTAGATGGAACTTTAATAACAGATTTTATAAATTGCAACTTTGCAGGAGAAACTGAATTTTAGAAAGTAAAGAAAAACAAAATTGTACTAGTAAGACTTATATTTGATATACCTATAAATGTTTACACATTTTAGGTGGCCATTTGGATGTTTATAAGCTTGACAGAAAATGTATTTATGATATCTGAAATAAATTTCTTAATAGTCAAAATAATGCAAATGATGCCCAGTAACAATAGGAATATGGAGATGTAAAATTAATTTCTAGACGTCCAGAAGGTTTATTCTAGATGTGAAGAATGTCCTGTATAAAATGTTCATTATAATAAGAAAAAACTGTATTCCAGATATCAGTAATACCATTCAGACAAACTAACAAATATCAATACTGCCTTCCATAGATGGGAAAATTAGTTTTTTGCTTGAATGGTAGTGGATCAATGTATCTATTTAGGTGAAATCACCTGGCAGCAGGGGAGGATTAAGTCTAAAAACGTTGTTCTGACAGGTAGGACTTGTTCATCATCTCATGGAGCTCCACCTCATTGTATGTCTGTCTTCCATTACACAGTAAACACTAAGTGACTGTTTGACTGTGCAGTTGTTTTCTATGATGCTATTGTCACCCATCTATGTTATATAACCGATATAAAGTTCTGTTAAATGATTTTAAAGAAGTATGTTATGCTGCAAATGTGAAGGCGGATAAGGTCTGGATGTATGCGGAACAAAAACATCATGATTGGCTCTAAGGAGAGAGGAGACAGAAGACACTGAGTTTATTGAGGAAAACCTGCTCCTGACCGGGTTAGTTTAGGGAGAATGTTACTATGGTAACAGAAACAGAGGCTGAGTGAACTCTCTTTGTTATGTTGAAAACTCAGACTATAGGTATAGAAAAATGAAGTGTTTTCAGTAAACCTGCTTTGAGAAACAGGCCTCTGAGCTGGTTTGTCAGGACCCGGATAAACATTTATGCTTTCAAACAGAGGCTGCATAAGTCATTGTTGTGATGTTACTTTATGGCATTCAGTGTTAAGTGCTAATTCTTTTGTTTGTTTAGCAGGAGATACAAACATAGTGGTATCACAAAAATTCAAATAAGCTGAAACTTTCAAATATAAAGTCAGAAGATGACTTTTCAAGTATTTTAGTCTAAAACTTAATCATAGCTGGAGCTATCTCATCTAACTGTTTTCATTTCTGCAGTGTCTAGTACTTTAAGCAGGTCTAACCTCTATTAGTTGATCACAACATCAGTTTGCAATTAGTGCTACTTTGAGGTACCAACTCAGTGAGTTAGCCCATTTCTTTCAAATCATGTCAAGTAAAAAAACAAACAGAAAATGCTTAAATGTTAGGATTTTTATTAGAAGGCTCTTATTCGATAAATTATCCTTTTGTAATAAGTCCTATTTCTTTTGTTCTTTTCAATTGACAATTTATTAAAACCCTCTTTAAAGAGATAATCAAGATAATTAGGACTGATCTTAGCTCCTGTCAGTATGTTGGCTGAATTTATCGTTGGAGATGAACTAAGGGTTTGTAGCTACAAACATTGATGTGTAGAGACAACGTCATGTAATTTGACGGAACAGGGATCACCTTACAACGAAGCAGAATTAAAAGTAGCACTTAATATTCTGAGTGTCACTAAACCTAATGTAAAATCCTCAAGCACATTTTTTAAAAGAAATGTGGGTGGTGCCAGGTCAAGGTGATTAGATTAGTTATTACTACACTGATTTATCAATAAAGACTTTAACAAATGTATAAAATAAGATTTTAACTCTTGTGACTAAGGATCTCTGTTATCTTGGGCTCTAACGGTTTATTTTCCCACCGTGGAACAATAAGTGTTATTTCTGTTATGTTGCTTTTTTTTTGCAATACTGAAATTGTTATTTGTTAAGAAGTCCTCTAGGAGAGGCAATGATGTCTTCTATGAAATTTGTTTGCAAAATCTGAACTTTTATTACTTACTGCATTATTTTTTTCTCCTTCCTTTTAGGGTTGGAAGAGATATGGTCACTCCTGTTACACAGTAACTAGTCATGAACAGACATTTGAAGAGGCAACGTTAGGATACTACTGCAAGGCTCCTCTCCTCACTCTGGAAAACAGGTAAATCCTTTAGCGGGTTGTCTATTTGAAAAGAAAACAAAACAAAAAAGATTTTTATGTCATTGCTTCTCTTCCTTCATCTTCACTCTGGAAGGTTTGAGCAGGCTTTTATTAACAGTTTGCTAAATGCAAACGGAACCAACAGCAGCATGTCGTACTGGATCGGCCTCAAGGACGAGGAGGGGAAGGGGGAGTACAGATGGCTTTCTCAGAATGGCTCCTCTCTGCCTCTCACCTTCTCAAACTGGAACAAACATCAGCCAGGTGACCACTTGTTTTCTGGCTAACAGAACTGACTAGTTTAGAAAAGGTTTTGAAGTGAATCTTGCTTCCTTTTCCCCGTTTAACCAGTCAGTTCCGGTGGCTGCGTTGCCATGTCTGGTGGTCCTGCTTTGGGCCACTGGGAGGTGAAAGACTGCAAATCCCACAAGGCTTTGTCAGTGTGTAAAATGAGCAGCAGCCACAATGATGCTGTTCTGACAGGGCGTCACATTGATGCTTATGCCCCCTGTCCTCCAGGCTGGGAATCACAGTCTGGAGTTCTTCACTGCTTTAAGGTCTGATAGTCTACTTTCTTACCTCTCACTTTGAATGGCAGATTAATATCACACGCCCAGGCTGTTTGTTTTTTACTATTTTATCATAATTTTATCATAATTTACAGTTAAGTTACTATAATTCCTTACTATTACTGAACTGTTACTTATTTATTCATTAAAATAAATTTCTGAAATTAGTCTTAGAGACATTGCGACACAAAGAGCCTGATAGGATTTTCTCTTTTAAGCATTTAATTTTCTAGACAAGAAGTTTTTGACGCTTTTGTTCATTTTTGTTTTAAAAAATGACTGCTGTGAAAAAAGTGATTAACTGGACTGTTTACTAGAGGATATTATAAAAATAGCATTGCCTTATACGAAAAAAAGAGAAATTTGATTTTACTCTTTTGCTTTGGTGTCAAAAAAATTTGATTTTATAGTAAATATGCTCTTGAATAATGGGTTTTATTTGGATGTTTAATTTTTCATATCTAAAAACATCAAATCTCCTGCAACCTAATGCTAGGCATTGCTCCGGTTTAAACTCTGCTGACCTGATGTGCTGCCCCTCTAGGTGTTCCATGATGAGAAAGTCTTGATGAAGCGCTCCTGGGTGGAAGCAGACTTCTTCTGCCAGGCCCTCGGTGCTCAGCTGGCCAGTTTCCAGCACTATGAGGAGCAGTTGTTTGTAAAGCACCTGCTCAGCACCATGTTTGAAGGGTTGGTATAGCTCTTAGAGCATTAGAGTGCTGCAGTATTGGTTTGAGAAGTAATGAATGCATTCTTTCACTTCCTTAGAGCTCAATATGAAGGGTGTTACACCATTACATCCACAAATTCATTTTTAATGGATTCAAAGAGAACAGAAAATAGTCTGAAAATTGTTTAAAGCAAATTGAAGTAATCTAATTAGCTCAACATGTACTTCCTATTAGATTTCTGTAGCAAACAGAGAGGGGGATAGATTCCCAATCATGCTGTGTGTTGCTTTCAAGCCTCTATAGAAACATTTCAGGGCTGTGTAGTTGGCTCTAACAGTGGCCAGTGTTGTATTTTCTGAGCATTTTTTTCAGAAGTGAAATGCATAGCATGTGGGGTTAAATTTCTTGGTTTTCTTTTTTTCTATTTCTCCTTTTTTATGTTAATTTCTTTAGAACAGAAGGCCGCTGGTTCTGGGTTGGTTTGAATAAAAGAGATCCCGAGCAACCTGGAGTCTGGGAGTGGTCCGATGACTCTCCGGTAAGCATGCAGATATGTTTCTGTAGCTTGTAGAAAGCCCACCAGTGCTGTAGCATGAAGGAAACATGCAGTTTTTAGCCTATTTTTTTTTCCAACCATGCCAACTGTTGCAGGTAGTGGCGTCTTTCATTGGAGACAAGAACGAGGAGGATGACAGGAGGGACTGCGCTGTATACAGTGACCTGACCAACACTCTGATGCCACGCCCTTGTGACACCAAACACGAGTGGATCTGCAAGCTGCCCAGAGGTTGCACGTCTTGCACCTTTTCCCACTACAGTTGCATCATATATAATAGAATACAGCTTGATTAAGTGAAGTGTGTTTTGGACCGCAGGTGAAGAACTGAAGAAACCTTACTGGTACACTGAGCGTAAGTGAAACATTTTCATTTGGAACTCTACATGAATTTCACAACTACCTCTGAGCCATTAAAGCAGCTTCAGTATGTTTCTGTTTCCTTAGTGCTTGACTAAAAGGTAGCAGTAGCAGAAAGAACACTGCCAGGATGCCATTACTGTGAAGAGGCATTATATAAATTCATAACAATCTTCTAAAGCTTTTTTAATTGGATTTTTTTCAGTGTAACAGATAGGATCTGAAAATTTGATTTCTTTCTTTATATTTCTTCAAACTCTAAATAGCTTTGTGAAAAAGAACTCAGGCTGTGTTTGAACGTCTGCTCTAACCCCTAAATCCCTCAATCACTATATAGAGCGAGGACTTTATAGTGGACTTTATAGCGAACTCAGTTAACTGACCGTTCGGACAGATGATCCCTACTTTTCACTCCCCGTTGGTCATGTGACTTTCCCTTCTCGCTTGCGCCATCTTTGTCATTTTCCACTGCTGTCGGGCAGCGACAGCCGTAGGCGACATCGGGCCACTGTGACAACAAATCCTGTCATGCTTTGGAAGGAGAGCTCTCTGTGCAAAGCATTCTGGCATATATCTGCTCATCCAGTGACCAATAATCAAGTGGGAATGCTTATGCATTCCCACTTATTGTTTTTCACTTTTAATTTTTCTGACTCTAACTAGTCCCGCAGTTTTCAACTGATTTCAACAATTTTGGTATCAAAACGTTCAGCTTATTCAGGAGAATTCTGCTATGTCTTTTGGTAAAGATATTTTTTGTAGTTTTCGCGATATTCAGCTTTTTCTGCGTTTTTTTTGTCCCATTGAAATGCA